AGAGTTTACTAATCTGTGGGCTGCATACTTTGTTTTACCACTGAATCCACAAATAAAACCCACCGTTGGGTTGACCTTGAAAGAGCCGACGCAGACCCCCATCTGTCTCTCACCCCCCGACCTCAGCTGTCTGAGCGGCCTACATCTGGAAGCTGTTGAGTGACATCAGTGACGGACAGGTTCTCATCCCAGCATGTGAAGTCTGAGTCAATCTCAGCCTGCCTCTGCCTCCATTTAATACTCTCTGATTCTCTACTACTTGGCTGGTAGACAGTGAGGGGTTGTAGGATTTACCACCAGCCTGCTGTTTCTCATTCTCATTGTTTCTTTTGGTAATCAGCAGGCCTGAAATGTATGAGAGCTTTTATGCAGCAGGAGAGAACATTAATACCAGCAGTTCACAGCTAAAAGTCTGAAAAACCTATATCGTCCAGCCTGAACACAAAGGCTTTGATTGAATTAGTCTCTATGCACTTGTACTGGTTTCAAGGCAAACTTAATTAAAAAAATTAAAGGGAAAGTGCCCTGTTTGTACACATCCAAGTTTGACATGTCTCGTATAGTACTACTGTTTAAATAAAACCTTTTGTGGCTCTGATACATTTCCCCAAGACATTTCACAAATGCTTGGTTGTAGAGTTGCATTGTGGGTAATGTATGCAGCAGCTTTTGACAAAAAAGAACAATGTGTGCGAAAACTCTGCTGCTACTGAATCAATTTCAACTTTCTTTTAACTGTCCATCACCAAAGGCGATGCCGTGTGGATGGAGTACTATTTAAAGACCTGTATTTAGTGCTTTTATCTATTTGGTGTGGAATTGGCGTCATAGTGAATGTATAAAGTGTGTTAGTCTTACTCTGGTCTGGTTCTGGGATGTGGGCACTGGCCGGAGCTGGAGGCCCAGGAGGGCCTGGTGGGCCGGATAGACCCCTCTCTCCTGAGGGTCCTGATGGTCCACGGGGCCCTGAGAGAAGAAATGACAGAAACATCACTGTGGTGACAGAGATACTGTGCTTCAGAACTATGTCATAGCTACGTTAGATCATTACGTTTCTCTTAGAGAGGCACAACACAACAGGATAATGATAAACAACTTTGGTTGATGTGATGATAGAAGGATAAAGTATAACAAAGACCAGAGAGGAAATAGATTAGATTAAGTGCTCAATGATACTCTATAATCGAGTCTGGCATGGGAGTGTGTGTGTGTGTGTGTGTGTGTGTGTGTGTGTGTGTGTGCGTGTGTGCGTGTGTGCGTGTGTGTGCGTGCGTGCGTGCGTGCGTGCGTGCGTGCGTGCGTGCGTGCGTGCGTGCGTGCGTGCGTGCGTGTTCAGGGGAATAAAATAAGCAGCTGGACAGAGAAGTGTATGAGCTGGCCAACTTTGTTCTTCTGTCTTTAAGAGAAGCAGGGTCATTAATAGTCAGGGGCTTGGACCTGACTTTGTGACCTGTGTTAAACTCAAATAAACACCAATAAACTCTGAAGAGTGTTACTGGCACTGGTTTATTGTAAGCTAAATGCTCCCTGCTTACACACCGCAAGTTTTATTTTTAAATGTGTGTGTGAGTAAAAACCTGTAGCTGGTACATGTACATAGTCCTTCCTCCAAGCCATCTTTATAAGGTGGGGAAAAAAACACCATAGCTACATCTGACCTCATTGTTTGGACTCTCCTGAGGTAATGCTGCCCCCTAAACACCACCTCTTGCCCTCCGAAAGACCCAGACTCATCACCTCTCTGTTTATGTACCGATGCAACTGACAATGACAGTCCACTAATTACTGCTTTGAAAGGTGATGTTATTACAGCTCTGATTTGACACTTCTGCGGGCTGTTTTCACTTAGCCTCGGTAAACACTGCAGCATGACCGTCTGTGTTTTGGCTGCATCGGGCTGACTGCAAGCTACAATCTGCGGCACAGTGGTTACACGGCGATTCAAAGTGGCCCTTTAGAGTCTATGTGACATGTTGTGGGAAACAGTTAGCATTCTTTACTGCAAAATAATGAATCCCTTGAGCAACCAGGGGATGCTGTGTCAAAACATGGGACAACATTTGTAAAAACAACATGATTCATCATAACGTACAATATCACTTCTACAAAGTTCACTCTTTTCCCAGCACTTAAATGACCTCCGGCTCAAATGCATTTTTGCCTACATTTTCCATGACATTGGACCCATTCCAGTCTTGTGTTTATCTTTCTCTTTAAAGTGAAAAAAACTGTTCAATAAAGAAAAACAGAGCTTCAGATGCAAGACATAGCTCTGGGTACTTATGAAGTAACGGAGATAGAAAAAACAATAACACCACAGCCATATGGAAACCATAAAGACCTGGGATTTGTGTATATATAGCTCATGTTCATTTCAGATTGAAGTCACATGGTGCTTCTCGGAGAGTGGGTTTGTATTTTAACTTCTAAATCTCATCTTTACCCAGCAGCAGGCACAGAGGAGGGGTCATATGTTAGCTTGAGAGGAGAGGCACTCCCTTCATGATCCAGCGCAGAGAAAATAGAGCCTATAGCAAGAGCAGATGTTGTGATAAATGTATTCTGTCATGTATTTGACCCTCATTCAATTCACAGCTGCCTGTGGATTAACATTAAGCCCAACAGGTCATTTATTGTTTATCAAAAACTAGGGAGCTCTAAATACATGGAGCAGATTTATGATTCTGGTTGGTAAGCAGCACTTATAAATAAAGGCTTCTGCTAACCACAGAAAACAGCATTTTTAGAAACATTTAAACAAAGCCAAAGAACAAAATACCCAAATTCCAGCATGTAACCAGCAGACGGACATTCACCACTGGAGGGTTTGTGGGTCGACCGAGTGGTTTAAAAGAAAGACAAATACTCTGCAGCAGGACACCACGGGCAGGCTTTTGTTGGAGACCTCTCTCTGATTCTTCCGCTCTTGTTTCAAGCGGTCTTTGGTCAACAGTGACTCATTAAAATGTCTTGTTATACGGACAATAGTTTAAATGGGCAGGTATACAACTGTCTTGCACCGTTTTCTCAAAGACACACATATTTACAAGAAGCTCATTGACACACTGTGTCAACAACTACAACAAAACAGGTTCATTTGTTCCTTTCTGCTCTTGACTGTCTGCTAGCGGGGGGCTCTAGTACCTGCAGGTCCCGAGGATCCCTTGAATCCAGGGGCTCCAGACGGGCCCCTCGTTCCGGCCTCCCCCCGAGGCCCACTGGGACCTGGCAGCCCTCGAGACCCTGGCTTCCCTGAGAGGAAGAAAACAGTCATGAGTAATCATGAACCCTTAACTGGTATACATCTTAAAAGGTTTTACATGCACTACAAGTCAACTACAGTTACAATGTACCTTCTCTGCCAGAAAGCCCATCTCTCCCCTTTTCACCCTGAGGACCTGCAAGGAAAACAGAGAGGTGACTTAATTAAGAGGTGCAGCTCTGTGGAAAAAGTCCACAGAGTGGCTGGGCTTCAACCACCTGGAGGATCTTGGTGTAAAATCCACTGGGGGATTGGGTAAAACTCTCCATTTCTAAGTATGAGAGAAAAAGACGTGTCAATTCTGTGTTCATGTCATCCATGGGGCTTATATAATCCGTTAAAGCAACTCATCTCAACTTAATATGTTCACTCACTGAAGAAAAGCAACAATTGCTTGTACAATCTCAAGATATTATCCATTCATTTTGACTCAGTTAATGATTTATAACAATGATGGCTGGTTGAATTAAGGCATTTGTTAAAGAAATGATGAATGAAGCATCTCTGAAAAATGAAATACATCGCGTGTCTCAGTGTTGGTTGCTTCTCAAAAAACTACTATGAAACTCTGGAGGTGAGGAGTTAGAAAGAAGGCACTTTACCCGACCTCTTAAGCCGCTACTAGTCTGTGGTCGAGTTGCATTGTGGGTCTTGGAGGCGCTGGGTTTTGACAAGGTCTGAAAATAACGATTGCCTGTTCTATTGAAAGTATTGAATAAGTGAACGATGGTATGATTTTATACAAAGCCATAGACTGCACTTATTTTCTACAAAGATGGACAATTTATCTACAAATGGAAAGCCATCAGAGAAACTTTAAAGATTGTATAATCTTGTAAAATATCTTCATGTGGCTACAACTGAGTAAGACTTTTGGATAAACACAAGTAATGATAATGAATACTCTCTCCTTAACGTGTTGTGACAGTAGCAGCAGGGTTAGTGAACTCTTGCAGTGCTGGGCTGGACTCCAGGAGAGGAGAGAGAGAGAGAGAGACTTTCCTGCTTCAAGTGTTCACTTTTCTCACAGCCACAGAGCGCTGAAAGTGAGCAGCACAGTCAACTGGGCACTAACCTTTTTTTTTGCTAAAGGAAATGAGCATGTATGCGGTAGAGGAAATAGGATATGAGCAGATGGAGCAGGTAGAGCGCAGAAAAATAGTTGCTGCTCGCTTTCTGATTCAATTATCCAAGCACAAAACGTTTTTACCTTAAAACATATGAATGCATGGCAGCGTGATATCCATACCTGCAGGTCCCTGCTCACCAGGAGCTCCCTGAGCCTGCACAGCACCAATCAGTAATGAGGCCTCTGGTGCAGTTCCTCCTTTAACCTGAGGGGGGCGCTGTGATACGGAGGCCGGGACATTGAGTAATTGGACCTGGTGAAGCAAGACATAAAACAAGCAATTAAACAATGTTCTTGTTAAATGTTTCATATCTCAGTGATTTGGAGCCTGTGGCAGAAAGAGTCCAAACCTTGGCCTCCAGAGAGCTCAGCCGGTCAGTCAGAGCTGTGATTCGGCTGCAGTTCAGGCAACCTAAAAAACAAAATAAATGTTTTCTTTACATTCAGACATGTAAACACGTAGTGCACCTTTGCTGTTGTGTTGTTAAGTCACAGCATTAACGTGTCCACAGGTCTTACTAGAGATGGGCTCTCCTGTGCGTGCAGGCGGGCGGCGGAGCGTTGAAGGTTTCCTCACCGCCTCTTGTGCTACAAGCTGGCTCCCTGCAT